CGAATACGCCCATGAGCAAGACCGTGGTGCCACCCAACATCTGTATCTGTATGCTGGCCCGTACGATATGGATTCGATTTTCCATTCATAATACTGGAATGAACGAACGGATGAATGCAGCTTTTGGATGTTTTGTGCTACCTGAATGTTGAGCAATCAGCCGCCAGGCCGGCCGGCGCGGCGCTTGGCATGAGTGCGGCTGTTCGCGTTCGGCGTTCGCCGCTGGGCACCTTACCTACCAGTAGCTTTTCATCATCACTGCAGCAGCAGCTGCAGCGTGCACCCACCCACCTACCCCTACACGAAACAGACAATCGTTTTGTTTCCTGACCAGACCAGGGGCAACTGGGCAAAAGGCCGGGGACGTGCTCTGGTCCCGTCTTCCTGTGCGGCCCAGACCAGCAGCTGCGCCTGCGTGCAGGGCCGTAAGAATTCTTGTCACTGGCAGAGTGGCAGTACGTGGGCACTTGTTCACGTGCCCGCCGCCGGCAAAAAGAAAAATGAAAAAAACCCCCCAAAAACAGGGCACCGGATGCATGTATATATATATATTACAGACACGTCACAAGTCAATCAGGCAGCCAGCGAGAGCTGTGGAGCGGAACACGTACCTGCACACAAATGTACAACTAGTACTCGCAACGAAAACTCAACAAGGGTGGGGCGTTTTGGAAGTGGGGATCCGCGTGCGTGCCGCTCTAGATGTCGGCTTACACGGCGGCACAGATCCGACGAACGCGCCATCACCACCGGTTTGTTTCATGGACAAAAAACACAGGCCTCAGTCTCATGCATGATCTATTTTCCTATGCACAATATGGCCATATTTGACACGGCTCAGTTTCACTAGTAAAACTGTTTTTTTAGTTTTTAACTTCACAAGCAGCTTTCTCAGCAAAGCTGAGCTATTTTTATAACTTCGTTTGTCAAAACAGTTTTACATGGGACACAAAATTAAGAAATGGCAATAATACTCTTTTCTTTTCTTTTCTTTTTTCACGTCTACTTTTACGGAGAGAGGATTCGATCCGTCGTCCTCTTCTCGCATCCTCGGCGGCGTCCATGCATCCCGGGCATCTGCGCGACTGGCCGTAGCTGCGCCCGATGGGGGCCATGCTCGCCTTGTGCCTCGATGGCCGCGGCAACTCGCGCGATCGCCCCGTGCCTCGACAGCCGCAACTTTCCTGGCAGCAGGTTCGCGGCGGCCGTGTCCGTAGCTTAACCGGCGGTGGCCGCGTCCGCATCCGCGCGTGGCCCCGGCAGCGTTCGCGCGCCAGCCACGTCCAAGCACAGGGGAGGGACCGAGCTCTCGCCATACAAGAGTCGAACAATCCCAGCCTCCTGCGCTCCAACGGCTGCGCCCCGGCTCCCTCGGCGGCCGCACCGCCCAAGACAGCAGCGCCCTGGGCTCCCCAGTGACCGCGCCCCCTGGCACTCGGCGGCCTCCATCTGGCCACACGACGACTCCTCGGCGGCGGCCACACCACGGCTCCGGAGGGCCACGCTTCGGCGGCCACGCCCTGCCCTACCGGCCACTACCTCCCGGTTCCCGCGACCATGCTCGCTCTCTCTCTCTCTGCTTCGCAAAAGGTCTTTTGTGCACATGAGGCCCATATATGGGAGATGAAGCTGAAATAAGCTACCATCTTCAGATTCATCCCAACTCATGTCTTTGTGAGAGGAGTAAGGATGAAAACGGACGGGATGAATCCCGTTCTGTCCGCAACCGTATACCGTTTTTTCCATTTGTTTTCATTTTATCCGGGATAAACGGAAACGGGACCGGGGCCGAAACGGTAGAGCGTTTGTCCGTCCGTATTTACGGTATCCCGTTTTCGACCGGGACATCCCGTTTTACATCCCGTTTTATTAAGTCCGGGATAGGCCTGCTAAGAGCTTAGTCCGTCCATAGAGCTAGCCCAATTTGGCCCAAGACACAACACCGCACCCGCACCCTCATCCCTAACGGCGCGCGCGGCCTCCCCCGCCCGTCGTCCTCTTTCTCCTCCTCCAATCTTCCGGTGCTAGACGCTGGCAGCCGCGCCCTCGGACCGGCTGATGTCGCGGGCTGGAGGACAAGGAGATCATGGTGGCTGGAGCAGGTGGTCACCGCGCTCGGCGTGGAGCGCGCACTGTGCTGGCTCCGATAGCCTGCTCACCACCGACGTGCTCCTGGCAATGCTGAATCACTTCTTCATGAACGTCGATGTGCTCGCGCACGCCGGAACCATCGTAGGCCTAGCATAGTTTGCACTGCAACCAGCCATGCAGGGTCCAACTACTAATTTGTACAAATTGTTGTTAGAAAATTATTAATTGGAGACTGCTCCGCATTTGATTATGTGTTTTCATATCGATTATTTGACCTAGCGTAGTTTGCACTTTCAAGCATTCGAGTAACTGGTTCAGTATAGGCATGACCTGAACAAATTTTGCTACTAAGTACTGTGTGACAGTATTCGTTATTTGACCATAGCAGAAACATCAATCAATCAGAAGAACTAGTTTGCCGTGATTCAGTGATTAGCTTGCTGTCTGGAGTACTTATGACAGCAAAGAAACAATATAATACTCCCTTCGGTTCTCTAAAGCAAGTCGTTTTGGACATCGACACGGTCTTTAAGAAATGACTTTGACTGTAACTTTTTGCTATAAAATATAGTCAATATATACTTTTATGAAACTAAATTTCGAGATGAATCTACTTACATCACTTTCATATTTTCAAACTCAACCCAAAAGAAGCTATTTGTAGTCAAAGTTTAAAATGTTTGACTTAAGACAACCTCAAAATGACTTATTTTAGAGAACCGGAGGGAGTAATATTTATGTGTGGTCTGCTAGGTGTATTATCTATTTACTAATGCACCTTGGTTTCTATATTTGAGCTATCATATGTGGCGTGCAATCCCGGCTTAAGTTTCTACTTACCATTCGTTTCCATCTATTTTTCAATCGTATTTACCCGTTTTCGTATTACCGTTTATCCTGCTACCGTTTTTGTTCTCGGCTGTCCGGCTTCCGCTCCCGTTTTCGTCAAAAAATATGAAAACGAAAACGGTAGAGCTATTTTCCATTCGTTTCCGTCTGTTTTCATCTATAGAGAGAAGGAGAAAAAACAGTTTCACCCACGAAGCTGTTTTGGAAATGAGCGTTTGACAAAAAAAACAGCTCACAACAGCTTCATAAGCTATTGTGAGTTGTGCCAAACAGGCCCTATATATGTTTTCTCTCTAGCTACTTTCTTTACCTCTGTACAGTATATATGATTTATTTTCCTCTGTACGGTACATATGCTTTCTCTCTAGCTACGTTCTTTTCCTGTGTACATTATATACTGTATATATACATGATTTATTTCCTATGTACTGTAGAGTATATATGATTTACCGCCCTATGTGTCACTCTGGTTTAAAATTTGCCCTACATAACTGTTTTGTATTCTTTCATTTTTTTTAAAAAAAAAGCACTTTGTTTTCCGCTCTTCCGCTTCCCGTCACCAGCCGACATTCATATTCTCCTGTGTGCATTCATATTCCCTATCCTAAATACCATCGTCGTCCATCAAATCCGCAATGCCCAGAATTCCATCCACCCTGTTCACTGTTCAGAGTCACGCACCCACCTGCTACTGCCAGTGCTACGATTGCCCGTGTTCCTCATTCCCTACATAACCAACGCAAAAAGGTTACGAAGATCTTGGTATAGCAGTGAAAAGCAAGGCATTGGTGTCTTTCGGTAAACCTATTCTCTCCAATACATGTGCAAGGGTGAAATGCAACAATGTCCTCTCAATCTTTACTAACTTGCATGGACGGGACGACGGGTTCACGAAAACAAATCCAAAACTTACTGAAATGAATTATAACGGCATGCTACCTAACTAATTTAGATGGAGATACAAGCTACGTTATCTTGACCCACAAAACATACCGGCTTGCATCTTTAATTCTAGGGTAAAATGCATTTTTCAACCTTTAACTTGCATGATAATTCGATTTTCAATTCTAAACTATGATGCTAGATACCGAACACCCTCCAACCAATTTTAGCTAGATTCAAAGGTGGTTTTTTGTTTCCTAAAATAATAAAAACATGTTTAAGTCTCTAAAAATTCATAGCTTATGTATTTTAAATAAAAAAAATACGATACTAATACCGGCCTAAAAATGTTGTCTCTAACGATTGGTAACCTATTTGAAGTTATTTAGAACTTATTTATTTCTATTCTTATTATTTCATTGCTTGTGGTCTGTTTTTTTAGAAGCATGAACAAATATAAGACCCAACTGACTCCAAATAGAGCACCAATGAATAAATAACTTTTTAGAAAAAAGGCATTAGTTTAAAAAATTTTATGAATTAAAATAGACAAGTTATTTTAGAGAATAGAGACCCACCTTTGATACTAGCTAAAGGATTTAATTTGTCCGGTTTTCGATAGTTGAGAGATGGCCTGTTCGCTTGAACTTATCAGCCGACTTATCAGTTAGAATCTACAGTATTTTTTTCTCATAATAAAACCGCTTCAGTCGGCATATCAGCCAGCTTTAATACCAGCCGAACAGGCTAGGTTACCCTGTCTAATATTTTAGGATTAAAAATCGAACTATCGTAAAGTTGAAGATTGAAAATGCATTCCACCCTTAATTTTACCACGAGAGAAGGGAGAGTTTGCTCACTACCACTAATGTACCAAGGCAGGACTAGTCAACAGAACGGCCCCACAGGCAGAAGCACAAGTAAGACTGCCCGACGGTCGCCATCAAAGCGGCCGTTTTTATTCCGCTCCGCCCCCGCCCCTCTCCTCTCCCCGCGTCTCCAGTCTCCACACACTCTGCACCGCCACCGACCGCCGTCACCTCGAGATGAACGCGCTGAGCTGAGTCCTCCTCCCTTATTTACGCACGCACGCACACGCCATCTCATCACCGGATCACCGGCCTACAGCTCTCTGCCAGTTCTCCCCGCCCGTCCGGCCTCTCATCGCCGTGGCCATGATGGCGCACGGCAGCAGGCTCTTCCTCCTCCTGGAGGCCCTGCTCTTCTCGGCGCTGCTGCTCCTCCCTGCACGCCCTTCAGCCGCAGACGGCAGCGGCAGCACGTCGTACCCAGCCGACTGCCCCTACCCGTGCCTGCCTCCACCCACTGCCCCCGCCGTCTTCACCAACTGCCCACCGCCACCGGCGGCGCCATCCTCCACGTACTCGAACCCGCCGCCGCCAGCGCCGTCCTCCTACAACACGCCGCCGTCGTCCTCCTGGAGCTACCCACCGCCGCCGCCGCCGGGGGGCTACATTCCCTACTTCCAGCCTCCGGCGGGAGGTGGTGGTGGCGGTGGGGGGTACGGCTACCCGGCGCCGCCGCCGCCCAACCCCATCCTGCCATGGTACCCCTGGTACTACAAGACGCCGCCGTCGTCCGCGGCGGTCACGTTGGCCAGGGGGAGTTCTAGTGTTCTTAGCTTGTTGGCCGCCGTGCTAGCTGCTGGCCTGCTGATCATGGCTTAGCCGATCTTCTCCTTCCCGCAGCAGGTTCTTTCTTTCTTTTGTTAATTTATTATTCCGCAGGATTATATTCAGAAATATATAACGAGACATGCAGCATTATATATACATAATGTACTCCCAGCATCTCAGCTACATATTGCTAGATAGCTAGTTTCTTGATTACCACTCAAGGACTTTTGAGTAGTGGAGCAACTATAGCTTAGTTCTTGATGAGAGAGAGCATCATATTTATGTGCATGACCACAAGAATATTTGCCTTTTTTCTCGGTGCCTCTCCTTTCCGTTTTATTATATCTGTATATGTGTAGCACTAGTTCTTCCTGTCAACTTTTGTGTATAAACAACACTGCACATTGCAATTGGCTTTTCTTAGTTTGTTGTTTAAAGCTTTAAAATGTTGGATATTCTGTCAACATACGCTTTATTTACACGACACGACGATAGTAGTGGTAGTACTAGTACTAGTTATCAGCGAAGGAATTACATAACTGACGGCGCGCCGTGTCTTCAATCCTGCACGCTGGTACTGTACCTGCCATGAATTTAGAGACCGGATCGACTGGAAATGAAATTTCGCATTAAGTAGCTTTGCATTGCACAGCATTACAGCAATATAGCAACCGCTGTCGGTAAGCAAAATTGATGAGCAGTTGAGCAAGCGCTTCATTTAGCCTAGACATATATACTCATATAGGAGCCCCAAAAGAAGGAAATTAAAAGATTCAGAACCTAACATATAGATGGGTGAGCAACGCGCTCTCAAATCACTGTCGCCATGGATATTTGCAGGAAAGGTTCTCCGAGTAATGGAAGCATTGTTGGTACGGTACGGTGTTATGAATGAAACAACAAGAGAAAGAAAGCTGAAGCTAGAAATGCAAGCAGGTAGCTAGGTAGAGTGCTAGAGTGGGAGGTTTTGGTGACGAAGGCGGGGGAGCTAGCGTTTCCATGTTGGGCTAGCTCATCGCCTCCACGTCGCCATCGAAAGCTGGCCTGGTCAGCTCTAGCTAGCATATATATAGCAACGTACGTACGTTTGCACATGGATCGGAGGCTTGAGGGGGTGAGGTAGGACGAGATAGTAGAGGACAACCGAACCGAGCCAGTAGGAGCGCGTATGTGCATCAGTGCATGGCATGACCTGCGTATGATATACGGATGACAGTACTGATTTGGCTTGTAAGGCGATGGATCGATCGATGTGTAGCAAACGTACGGATCGAGTACGTATATGTACCCGATGTACGTACATCGTATAGCATCGCCGGCTCGTAGTACGTGGATCAGTTTATCAACAGAGTTGGTGGCGTTCATCGATCCTTCCATCGTTGGCGATTGCGTTCGTTGTTGGCTTGCTGCTATGCAGTAGTATGCACATATGCTGAACGCACCCACGTCGTCGTTGTGCTTGTGCCTCCAATCATTGACGCGCCCTATAGTCTATAGTACATGGCCGGCTTGCAAATTAAACTCTGCTAGATCGACTCCCTGCACGTACAACAAGAGACGAAGACTAAGAGTCGTCAGAGGATGCATAATGCATGCAAGAAAACAATCATGGTCTCGCAAGCAAAGCATCATATGTTAGACTTCGCAGCAGCAGCAGCCGGCCCGGCCCGGTGCTTTATTTCTGATGACTGATGAGCTCGTCGTCCGCGTTGGACGGCATCAGTTCCGACCAGATGCTCGCCGCCCGGGGACGACTGATAAAGGCCGGCAGTGAAACTAAAGTTGCTCTATCGGTCGCTTCGGTTCCTTGGCGATTCCGTTAGCGGCGTGCAGCAAAGACGCAGTGCCGTTGCCGCGAAGCTTCCCGCCGAATTCACAGCAGCAAGCAACGCCTCCACTCCGCACCACTGGTTGACGGTGGTGAGGGGAGAAAGGGAGCAACGGACGAACAAAGCGCACGGGCGGCCCCCGCCGGAGGAAAGCGGGGGAGAAAGAACACAAGGAATAAAGCCTATTTTTACACAAAAAAAGGGCACTCGATCGCCTCTTGTTAGGTGGCGTGGCGTGGCGTGGCGCCAAAGGGACTCCCGTGGGATTATTTGCAATGCAACAGTTGTACCAACACGGCAAAAAAAAAAAAGGGGTTGCTTGGGATTTTACTGCTAGAAAGATTGGTGGTGCCATGTCATGATTGGATTCCCTTCCCCGGCCGTTTGCACCAAAAAAGGGGCTCTTTTCTCTCTCAGTTCTCATGATAACGAGCGCATTTTGTAGATACTGCTTATATTAATTCATAGCTTGCTGCTGTTGTGTGCGTGGATGACCTTCCAAATAGCCATGATTAGCGCGTGGAGTTTAGCGCGACAGCGGCAAAGTAAACTCGAGGCCTCCATGTCTCGTTTCCAAGAGAGGAGTCCCAGCCCAGAAGAGATCATGCCATGTGCACGCCGCCCAATGCTGACTGACCGGTGACTGGGGAGGCACATTCTACTCTTCTTCTGCTGACTCCCACGGAGACAACGGTTTAATTTTTTTTTTTGTAGGGGCGGCTGATGATGGAGCCGCCCCTACAGTGGCTTGTTCGGGTGCCCAGACACCAGTCGCCCCTACAAATGGAACAGCAGGGGTGGCTGGTGATACGAGCCGCCCCTACAAATGGAGTATGATTTTTAGGGACGGCTCAATCACCACCGCCTCTAGAAATGGTATTTGTAGAGGCGGCTGGTGATTGAGCCGCCCTAAAATCATATCTCCATTTGTAGTGGCGGCTCAGATCACCACCGCCCCTACAAATGACCCCCATATAAAACTGGCGGCAAAGACCTTCTTCCTCCTCGGGTCATTCACTCCAACCCGTGAAAGAAAGTTGGGGAGGGCTTGGGCACCTCCCAAAAATTGCTCTACTAAGGGGGGAAGGTTTTGGTCTCAAATCCTTTGGTGGAGAGGTTGTAGAATGTAAGAAAATTCTATTCCACACTTTTTTTTGAAGTTTTAATGGTTGATTAGTGAATAATTAGAGTTTTGTTTTTCTCTATCTTCTATGGTGCTTGAGCTATTTATGAGCAAATTAGACTCAACTTTTAAATGTACTAGGATAAATTAGGGAGGGGAACAAGATCATACCCTTATTTGGTCCATGTTTCTTGATTTTAGTGAACCATTAGTTAGTTTTATGGATGTTTCATGTGCATGTGATCTAGATCTAGGGTTTGGTTTTTTTATTAATTTCGTTTTTGTAAATTTATGTTTGATAAAATTGGACTAGGGTTTGTACGAAAGATATTGTGTAAAGTATAATTATTGCTAATTGTTGTCTTTGAAATTGTTTATTGTAATAAATAAATATGTATTTTAATTATTTATGGATAAATGGGACATTAATTAATTTTCCTCTACCATGGTGTGTTTGTATGCTTCATGTAATTATATTAGATTTATATTCATATATATCTCGAGGTATATACAATTATTCTCAAATAATTATTACTTTGATTAATTTTTATATATATCTGAATAAGTAGTCCTTTAATATTTATTTTGTTGTTGTTGTAAAAGATGGAGTACAGAACTCTTAGATGTATGGTTCGTTAAGGTTCAAGGCGGGGTTTCCGTGAAGAGGTGGATAAATTTATTGAAGCCAAGAACGAAGCATGCAAAACGACATTGAAAGAGAATAAGGATACAATTATTTGCCCTCAGTAAATATTGCAAGAACCGTATGGCATGGACAGATGTGACTATCATCGATCACATTTGATTATACGAGGATTTGTTGAGGACTACACGGTGTGGATTCATCATGGTGAAACGGTTATTGTTAACGATGAGGATGAGGAGGAATACGACGATGAAACCATAGAATCCTGTCCCAATATTCAAATGAGCTTGATGCACAAATGGATTTCGAGTTTGGCAATGAACAAGGTGGTGATGCTTTGGTGGTTGGGATGGTAACGACGAAGGTGGTGCCAATAATGATGGTGGAGCACGTGTCGGAGTTGAAGATGATTTAGATGACATGATTCAACCCTTGGACCGTAGATTTTACTAAATAGCCCGAAAGGTCTAGAAAATTTGGAAAGAGTGACAAAAGCATCGAAGGAGACCGTGTATGGTGTTGAAAAGGGTTGTCCGGCACATTGGACATTGCTACGTTTCGTGCTTGAGCTGCTCATCCCGAAGGCTAAATACACGGTTGGTCGATCAGTAGTTTCAATGATCTATTGCATCTCTCGTCATGGGTCTTGCCACAACCAAACTCGCCTTCCGCCAACACATACCAAGCGAAGAAGATCATAAGTCCATTGACAATGGGGGTTGAAAAATACATGCATGCCCCAACCATCAGATACTTTTTTCGTGGTGAAACGTTCAAGTCATTGGATAAATGTCCCGGTGTGGGGCCACCCGGTACAAGAACAATGACCTTTACGGTGGGGACGAACCATCCACGGGAAAAAGAGGAATAAGAAGCGTACAAAAAAGGTGGTACAAGAATCTCAAATTTCAGAGGACACTCCATTAGGCAACGATGCAAAGCGAGAAGAATTCTTCCTCTACAGGTAATGTGGTACCCGCCAAAGACCGACCGCTTGAGACATATGTTCCTAAACCCTAAAGAAGCCGCACTCATGACATGGTGGGATGATGAGCGCAAGGTGGATGATGATAAGATTGCACACCCTACCGATTGTAGTCGATGGCAAAGGTTTGATGAGAAGCACAAAGAATTCAAATGATGACCCAAGGAATGTACGGTTTGGCTCGAGCACCGATGGAATGAATCCTTCAATGAGAGGATGAGCAACCACAAAGACATGGCCGATGATCTTGACCATGTACAACATCCCAACATGGTTGTGTCGGAAGAGAAAGTACCTTCTCCTCACTATTCTTATTTCTGGCCCTAAACAACCAGGCATTGATATAGACGTGTTCCTCGAGCCCTTGATGCAAGAAATGGAAAGACTATGAAGGCATGGGGAGCAGATGTACGATGCATTCCGAAAGGATGACTTCATATGTAGAGCAATAATATTTGTTACTACCAA